TATATATATATATATATATATATATTTAAAAAAAACTAATAAAGCTTAGTTAGGCTATCCAAATAAATGGGTAGACTTGTGACTTATTTGGTAAAATTATTCTTGTTGGAAATGAAATATTATATGTAAGAACCCTATTCAATCCAAAATCATTTATTTTCTCTTGCAAACTTTTAATGCAATCCATTATCATACTAAGTTAGGAATGACATTGGGCATTGGGTCATTAGAGCTAACTATGGGTCGCAGTCATACACAAAACAAGTCTCTCATGCCGCACCCATGACCTACCTACATGCCACGCCAGATTTATAATTTGTTCATGTTGTGTTGAGCAAATTTTGTATTGGGCCTGAACATCTAGCCCTATTTCCATCTCTATGGGTGGTTTAGGACATTATAACATGAAAACAATAACTAGCTACTAAACGAATCTTTAGGTTGTGTGGAATTTATTAAAAAAAAAAATCCATCGACTTTATAAAGCCTTAAAGATACAAGGACATACTCTTGAAATTATTGAATTGTATTGTCTAAAGTCTAAACTACAAGGACATCATGTAGAATTTCACAGCTGAAAAAAAAAAAAAAAAAGTAACTAGCGTCAATGAATATAGCAAGTATCCAGATAGTCGATTGCTCAATCAACCGATTTTTGTTTCTGACCATGCTGCTATTGTGTTTGACGACTCTCCCTTCCACCAATCGTCCAACCGGCCTTATCAATTGGACAACTGGTGCCTTAACTATTCACAGGTACACGACTTCGTCCGGCACACATGGCAAAGCAATTCTGTAGGCTCTCCGATGTTTATCCTTTCGGAAAAAATTGGACCATGTTAAGGTTTTAATTCGTAGGTGGTGCCTTAACAACAAGAAATTCTGGGGTGTGGATTGGAAAAAGTTCTCAAAGGACTTCTCCATTGAAGGGGAGTCAATTCAGTCTATTCCAGATGCGGCGCAGTATATGTCGAATATTGTTACATCGAAGGATAATATTGTTCTACAACTTCAATTCTGGAGACAACGATGTTAGAAAAATTGGATACTCAAAGGTGATTTCCCCTCAAAGTTACTTTTCCCTAAAGTCAAATCCCGCCAAAAGAAGAATCAGATTACTTCTTTACTTGATGATCAAGGTGTTCTTCAGCATGGTCAAAAGGAAGTACAGAGTATCATCGTGAAATCTCTTAAACAGACTTTGCCTCCCTATGATCCCGAAATTGACACTGTCTTACGTGAACTAGATCTTCCACGGCTCACTTCCTCTCAAATCAATAATTTGGAAAGACCCTTTTCGGCTTCGGAAATAAGGGAAGGTATGTTTGCTTTAGGAAACTGTAAGTCACCTGGTCCGGATGGGATCACAACTGAGTTTTTCAAAACACACTGGGATGTTGTTGGAGATTCGGTTGTCTTGGGTATTCAGAGTTTCTTTCAGACTAGGTTTATTTTGATATAGTGGAATCAATCTCTTCTTGTGATGATTCCGAAGATTGGGACTCCAGCAGAGGTGAGACATTTGCGCCCAATTAGCCTCTGTAATACGATTTACAAATGCGCTTCGAAGTGCTTGGTTGCCAGACTTCGTCGGTATCTGCCTCTTCTTATCTCAGATTCACAGCATGCCTTTGTTCAAGGCAGAGTTATGACGGATAACATTTTGCTGAGTCATGAATTAATGGAGAAAATTAATAGTTCTAAATCTGGTACTAACTAGCTAGCAGCGATTAAAATTGATGTGAGTAAAGCTTATGACCAAATTCACTGGACTTTTCTTTTACAAGTTCTGAAGGCCTATGGGTTTCCGGCTCGTTTGTTGCAAATGATACAGCAATGTCTCTCAACGGTCTCTTATAAGTCTCTTATAAATGGTACGACGTCGGATCCATTTAAACCGTAGTGTGGCCTTCGCCAGGGTGACCCACTATCACCGTACCTCTTCCTGTTCTGCATGGATATTTTCTCGCGGATGTTACATCTAGGCCAAGATTTGAAGTTGTTTCAAGGCATCAAGCTCTCAAGGAATAGTCCTATTATTTCCCATCTAATTTTCGCAGATGATGCTCTTATTTTTTTCCGTGCTACGTCGACTGCATGTCATCACATTGTCCAAGTCATACAACGTTTTACTAAAATTTCGGGGGAAGAGCTCAACCTTTCTATATCTCTAATTAAGTTTAGCCCGAATATTTGTTCTACAGTTCAGGAGGACTTTAAATTGATTTTTCGAATGCAACAAGTTTTGGTCTTCGATCGTCATCTGGGTGCCCCTATCGACTTCATCGGCAAAAAAAGGGATCATTTCCAGTTCATCATCGATAAAATTGTAGGCAGGATTAATTGCCTAAATTCTGTCAGGCTTTCTCAATCGCAGAAGTTAATTGTTATTAACTCTATTCTCGTGACTATGGCATCTCATGTCCTCTCCTGCTACGAGCTATCACTTTCAGTGACTGGAAAAATTGATTCCTTACTGATGCGGTTCTTTTGGGCGCATTCTGATTCCAAAGGTATGCATTGGGTTAATAAGGATACCGTGCATCTTCCTCGTGGCATGGGCGGGTTGGGAATCCGATGTTTATCCTCTTTAAACAAGGCTTTTCTAATGAAGCAGGTTTGGAGGTTTGTTACAAATCCGCAGCTCCTAGTTTCGAAAGTTTTCTCTGCTCGCACTACCTTTCTTTCCAATCACTCCAATACTACCCCTAGATTCTCGGGCCGTCATTCCTATGGCCTTCGGGGGTTACTTCGAGCAGATACACTGTTACAACAGGGGTGCCACTGGAAAATTGGTAATGGCCGCTCTACTATGGCTGGCTCGGCTAAATGGGTTAATGATTGCATTCCTGAATTTAAACCGGGGATTACACTTCAAATGGCGGGGAATTGCACTGTCAGTCATTTTATCCATCCGCAGACACACACGTGGGACTCTGACAAACTTGCAGACTGGTTTGTGCCCGCGGATGCAGCGGCTATCCTTGCTCTAGAATTTCCTGATACTTCACAGGAAGACTTTCGGTATTGGTCTAGTACCCCGTAAGGGAGGTACTCGGTGAAGACAGGTTATGCTATGCTTAATCAACAACTTCCTGGAGCTCTTGCATCTTCAGGTGTTGGCTCTTTTTGGAAAACTCTTTGGTCTTTGCGGATACAGCCCAAATGGAAACTGTTTTTATGGAATTTGATGCGTCGTGCTCTCGCAGTTAAGGCGGAACTCCATCATAGAGGGGTTTCGGTTCAGGATGTTTTTTGTGACCTTTGTCGAACTGATCCGGAGGATCTTCAACATCTCTTTCGGATGTGCAGTAATGGAGACCTTTCTCTCTCAGATTGGATCCAAGATTATATCTGACTTTTCATTAGTCAGGATGGACTCTTCAGTACTCGCTTGGATACCTTTGTTGGTACCCTTTGGAGTCTTTGGTTATGTAGGAATTCCAGAATTTTCAGTGACTCGACTACTATTCGCTCCTTTGCTCTCGTACAATTTTTCTTGACCACCAAGCTTCTGATGTTCCCCTTCCTGTTATTGGGGGTATAGCTAATACCTCGCCCCCGCCTGGGTTTTACGCAGCACAGCTTGGTCTGCTCAACCAAGGGTCTTCTTTACTATCAATGCAAATTGATGGTTCTTGGTTCAAAGATTCAGACCATGCCGTGATGGGGTGGTGCTTGGATAAAGCGGATCCGTTATACGACCGGATCGTTGGAGGAAGTAACTTCGGCGTTTGCTCTTCAGCCTTACATGCTGAGGCTCTGGCGTGCTGGTATGCTTTACAGTGGGCCTCGGAGTGTGGGTTTCAGTCCCTCATGGTCTTTACTGATTCCCATAACCTTGTTTCACTTCTTCGGGGGGATGGTCAGGGTAACATTGATTACCTCTGGCTCATCACCAAGATTAAGCGGTTAGGCTCAACCTTTCATTATTGTTGTGTTCACAAGGCAGATTGTCAGCGCGTTCTTCGGGCTCATCAAATTGCTAGAGAGGCGGCGGTTAATTTTATTTGCTTTAATATTAATTTGTAGTTGGTTTTATCCTTTGTCAAAAAAAAAAAAAAAAAAAAAATATATCGATTTGCTAAAAATTTCTATGATTATATTCTGCTCTCCAGAAATTGATTTAATTGTACTAGTAAATCTCTCCACTCTCTTCAAACCTTAATAGTCTGTTTCAAATACTTAATAGAGGCTAGTACCTGCAAGGATTTCCTGTGCTATACTCTTGCACTGCTAAATTTATGAGGGCTGCCCAGTTGATCTTTATGAATTTTTTCACTTTGTAAATCTTTTGCGCCAAGTTAGCTCATGTCTATATGGTATGATGACTCAGTTCACCATCTCAGCGGTTGTCATTATGTCTTGTTGAGTCAATTGATGAGAATGCTCACGGATGTAAAAAAAAAGTTAACTTTGCAATTAGTTTCTCATAACGTCCGTTTGATATTGTACTTGTTTTCCTTGTTGGAGAAGCTGTTTTGAAGTATTGAATTAAATGTGTGGCTGGTAATTTAAAAAGCCTCAATGTCTCTATTGTTCCACAAAACCTATCTTGGGTAACAAGTTTGGATCTTTGAAAAAAAAACAAAAAAAAATAATATTAAGAATTGAGTAGAAGTAGAGGGAGATAAACCTTCAAACTTGAAATTCAGTAGGATTTGAAACCTTCAATTGTTGAATGTGGAGATCCGCGAGAAAGAGTAGAGGGAGGAAAGTTCGGGGATGGTATAGTAAGGAAGGAGAGGTATGAAGGAGATGCTGCTAAACCTTAACTATCCGTTAAGATGTCGGCAACGGACGTCTAAAGTGGTTGACAAGATAGTCCCTGGTTTATGTTAACGTCGTCAGTGAGCTGGACATGTATACGTGGAAGTATGTTCAAGTCAGGGCGAGTACGTGGGCTTGTAATTACCAAAGGGACCTTCAGTAATGTAGGCGAAATTACCAGACTGACCCTAGATTAACAAGTTAGGGCAATCATAAAGATCAACTAGGAATTACCGTAAATTTATCAAGGAGTATTAATTCACAATATCACACTTTTCAGTTCACAAAATAGATGCCACTTTTTTTCCCCTATACATACTTCACAATTTTTTATTTTATTTTTTTTTAATTTATTTATCATCTAATTAATCTTAGATGATAAAGTACATTGTACATGACATTTGATGTCCATATCCTCTACGACAATGAACACTTGTCAACTTACTGTTAGACAAATTGGGCAGCACTACTGCTGTTATCGATTTTGATCATATAATAACAACATTTAAAGATCTAAGAAATTAAAACTCCATGTGAAGCTTAATTGGTTGTATGCTACAAATTTGGATGAGCCCTGCCGGATGACATATTGACATCCCAATTTAGTAATTCACTGTGGACTTGATTGCATCCAATATCTGCAACAGCCACATGACTAGCAAGGGTTAGCATTTCTTCAAATTTTCAGCTCAAATAGATGGAAAAAAGAGGATTAAATAGCAAATGTAGATATCTGCATTTTTCTTATGTAATCTTGCCAATTCCCTCCCCTTCTTTTAAAGCATGGAGTCTACTAACAAATATTAATTGGAATCTAAATCATAAGAGTAGAATCTTAACTTACAGACATATAGTCCCTCCAACTTCTACAAGTGACCCAAGCAGTTTTCAATTTTTCATGAGATATTTATTTAGTTTCATCCTCTTTAATGCATTCTCCACTTGTGTACTTTAAATTCCTTTAAAAAATTTCCATTGACCTTGTGAACTCCAATATAGAAATCTTGTAAATTGCCGACTGAACTTCAACATAAACTACATTTCTACATTCTTTAATATTTCTATCGACTCTTTACCTTCTTTCCCAAAGTCCTATCTTCAAGTTTTATTCTTACCTGATCATTATCGTTAACTCTTCATTCAATCATGTCATGACTTTGTATGTCAGTATGTTTTGAATATTCTTTGGTACCCCACAGTAGCACTTCTTCATCTCAATTCGAGTAAAATAAGGATCAATCTTTGGTGAGTGTTTTTTATTACATTGCAAATAATTACTGGAACATTACTTTCTAACCTCCATTTGTCCTCCAATTAATTCTTTGCTCAGCTTCAGTCAGAATCTATTTTACATTTAGTTTAATGCATACACCATTGACCTACGTCTGTGTTGTGTATTCACAGTCTCTTCTCTTACAGCTTGTACATCAAATCATTGCAAAGAGGAAATCTATTTGACTTGCATTTGCTCCACTTCAAAAAACCACTAGAATAATAGATAGTTGATACAATTATTTAGATGATAAGGATATATCAAATAACTCACTGCCTCATTCCTACTTTCACAACCAAATCCATGGATGAACACTCTCAGTTCAGAATCGTTTGACCTCAAATGCCTGTTCAGAATATCACTAACAGCGAAAAACCTTGCACCATCTCACCTAAGAACTCTCAAAATTGTTGCATAACAAGTTTCTCTAAGCCAACTTCAGCAGGTACTATAAACAATTATGAACTTCTTGTCGCACATAACTACAAATATTGATGGATCATATCGGTTCCTCTCTTTGAATTTCAAAACTCCCAAGATTCAATAGTTCTAGCTGTTCCTATCCCTTAATTTCTTGAAGACACGTGACTGTTAAGTTAATTAACCTCTTTTTTAAAAAAATAAAATAAAAAATAAAGACTAATTTCTTATCAAAAACCTAACATTCCAAGAGACTATATGCAAAATCATCCCTTTGCCACCTTCTCCTAAATCCCAAGAAGCTATCTGCAATTTCATCTCCTTTGCCACCAGTCACACACTCACACCTAGTTTAGGCTGATTTGAGGCATCCCACTAGACATAAGATAGGATTTGAGGCACACTCCTTAATAATTTATTTAAGTATGATGGAATCATGAAATAAAGGGAGGGAAGAGAAGAAAAGGTGAAGTATGAACTTTATAGCTTGGAGTTTGGACAATAATTAGGTTCTGTGGGAAGAGAATGAAACATGGATATCCATTTTCTTTTCCTTTCCTTTCCTTTCTTAACCAAATCTTCCTTGTCTATGGAAATATTAGAAAGGTAAAAGCATCTTTCCTTCCTTTCCTATTCCATATTTGGCGCTACCTAAATAGAAAATATTGTTTCTTTAATCCTCTCCTCTCTTTGACTTTAGTAAAGAATACCCAATCGCAGCATAAGCAGACTTGAGAAGAGTAAAACAAAAACACACAGATACTGGGAGAACATGTGGAATCCATCTCTTTTTTTCAATAATTTTCTTTTTCTATCTCATTTTCCTGTCAGCTCAATATTCATGTCCCAATCCTCCTATATTTTACCAGACTAGACAAAGAAAAATCATATTTTCAATTAATACGTAATACTTTCTAAGTTTACATTTACTACAGAATTTAGAACCTTCTCTTAGATCCAGAAGAAAAAAGAAAAGAGGTCAGCTCATTTTATATATACAAAGGTGAAAAAAATATTAATAGGAAAAACAAAAACTTGCCTTGTTCTTGGTAGGAAGGTAAAATGGTTCAAATACAAGAGGAAATGGTGTGTCAAAGCCACAAATCCGAGCAATAGGAGCTTCTAACTGCAAATTTTTCGGACCAGAGTTAGTAAGATTAAAAAAAAAAAGTCTTACCTAACATTACAATGATTATATCACTCCAGTTCTACTATCACACAATATCCCGTGCCAATCTTAGCCTGTATAATAACTATAACTAAAAATAAATAAATAGAAAAAACACCATCATTATGGACAGAAAAAGTTCTTATATATATAAGAAGGGTCTTACAATGAGAAGAATGAGAAGTAATCTGATGCACTTAAATAAAATGATCTGATGGCTCTCATTGCATGCTTCATTACTAGCAAAAATGAAAATACTTTTCCTCGCCAAATTTCTCATGTAACACTCTTTTCCCTACTTCCCTTTCTATTTACCACATTCCTCTCCCTTTATCTCCCCCCTGTTCATCTCTCTTCCCTTTTTCTCTTTGAGTTCACAAGATGCTCCAATGACGACTATCGTCAGTTTATGAAGAATAACAAGAAAATAGGAGAATCAAGTAAAAGTACACATTATATGTGCTTAATTTTTAAAACTAATCTGCATTATTCTTGTAAAATCGGTGCACATTATTACATTTTTTACTCACTATATCCAATCGAATCACTTTTTCACTTGATAAAAAGTTCCCACTATTTTCTACCCCCAAGGACATTAATTTACATTGATTAAAGGAAATTATGTTAGAAACAACCTTATAATATCACTTTTATAAAAAAATAATTTGGTACAAAACAACCTTTTTATCAAAATTTGGTGAAGTACCTTTGACCAAGTTCTAAGCATAGGGCATTGACTTCATTTGTTTCTTCCATTTCCATTTCCGACTAACTTGCTATATTTTCCTTTTTCCTTTTGCATGTAGGTGATCAAAAGAGAATTGAATAGTCATAAAGCTATTCTTATACTAATTGATGACTTTTTTTTTTGTAATCAATCAATCAAAGCCTTAATCCCATAAGTGGAGGAGGAAGTATTAATGTAGGTTTGTTATGCATTTGCAAATGCATAACAAATATTAAAATTTTGAAAAGCACATGGGGATGAGAGAAAGGAGGAGAGAGATTGGTAAGTGGGGCCACTTTTAAAAGTACCACTAAAAGCTTATATAATACCATTGACTGTGTAGTGATACTATTTCTACACGTAGTTAGTACCACTGAATGAATATATAGTATCAGTACATACATACATAGTACCACTGAATGTTCAATGGTACTATTTAATCATCTAATGATACTATTGATCACCCAATAATACTGCTTTAAATTCATAATATGTTTTATGTGTAATGACCACTATGCCCCTCGTTATGCATTTACTCATACCTCACTAACCTCCCTTTGGAAGGCCTCACAAGTGAGTATTTTTGTTAATAAGTTGTTAAAAACTTGAAGAGAAATGAATTTAAGTTAGTTCTTTAATAAATGCTTTAAAATTTTGTTTTTAATTTATTCTTCATTCGTTTTTTAAGTTGCAATACTCACTTTGTCACGGTATTTAAGAAAAGTGGGGTTTACATGGTTTAATACACTTTAAAAATGGGATGAGAGGTTATTAGGAGTATAATTTATTGGGTCATCTGCTTTATATAAAGGAAATAGTACAACTTTTTCAATTATAGTATATTGCAAGTATTGTGACATTTCCATTTTAGGGAAATGTTGCAAGTATTAAAAAACGGAGGAAGTACTATATATTTTGACATTGTACGTATGTCCATTTCCCAAACAAAAATTATAGTGGTGTCCTTGTATCCAAAAAATTTTATCGAGCCGCATCTGACACTTGCATACATATGCATTCCCTATACTGTTCTCCACCAAACTGCCTTCTAACCCTCTCTATTGCTCTTCCCAGATTTGCCTCATGTAAAACAAAACATAGACTTTCTTTACACATTACACTTGAATAAGGCAACAGCTTCGAACAAACTAGATGATCAAAAGTAGGTCTTCCTAGCCTGATTTCAGACTTATTGCTATAAAAACCAAGAATTATGATAGAATAGAACATTAATTACCCTTAAGAAGCAACGCTCAACAACAGATGCAGCAATTTCAGCGCCAAAACCTCCTGTTACTGGAGCTTCATGACTGATCTGTGAATTTTACCCCAATCAGAAAATGAGATATTGACTAGTGTAACCAAAAAAATTATCAATAAGAAGAGAATTGACTCACAAGTAATCTCCCAGTCTTTCTGACAGAAGCTTCTACAGTGTCCTTATCCCACGGTATCAGAGTTCTCAAGTCAATAAGCTCGCATGAAATTCCATCCTGAAACATGAGCATATGACATTCACTAAAGAGGTGTCTCATAATCTCATTATTTGGCTACAACAATGCATATCAGCACAATTGCATTTATCAGATGAAAAGTATACAAGATATTAAAGCTAAAAATTCCTCAGTCCCTGTCTGAGAGTAATTGATCCAAATCTCCATAGCATATGCTAGTCATAAATGGATTCTTCAGACTTAGGAGGTAGAGCACAGGCAAAAAATCATCAATATATATAATTTGCAATTATTTTTTTCTGTTAGTTTTCTGAAGTACTAACTGAACTCCCACAATGTTTCCCAGCACAGTCATGCCTTCTTTAAGTGGAAGCATATCATGTCATGTAACAGCAGTTTCAGCCCAGGATATGATGAAGAATACACAAAAGTTGTATTGAAAGGGCAACTAGGCAACAAATTTCCAACTATCTCAGCTATATATCCAATATGTAAATATTATTATATTAAGTGATCAAATCATCTGCTAAAGAAAAAAATCCTCCCCTTGAAACATAAATGTAACGACTAGTTTTAGGGAAATAAAATAACCAAATGAATAAAAGGTAAAGAACAATAACACAATTCTGTTAACATGATAAGCACATACCTTTTCTGCCTCAATACAGGCTTCCTCCATGACAGCCAATTGAGCTCCCCAACCCACAAGTGTAATGTCATTTCCTTCTCTCATAACCTATAAATCAGATTAAATAAATTTTATTTTTTTGTCATTAACAAATTTCTGGGGCAAACAACAGAAGAGTAAAATTATACCTCAGCAAGTGACAAAGGCAACATGTAATCACACTCAGGAACTTTCTCCACAGCAACACGGTAAAGAGACTGAAACTCCAATACAGCATGACTGTTAATTGATCTTTATCAGGTAAACTATGAAAGCTAATAATACAAAAAGGACATGCCATGCCTTAGGTTCAAAGAAGACAACAGGGTTTGGATCACGTATGCATGACAGGAGCAACCCCTTGGCTTGCTGTGGGCTTCGAGGCACAACCACCTATTAGAGAAACTGGTGACTTCAGCATAATTTTATTGCACATATAACACACATACAAAAATACATAAATGTATACATACACCAAACATGAGCAAAAATTTATCTATTTGCAATTATTAGGCTCTTTACAACTCTTTTTTTATACCAGTGAACTAAATTTATGCATGCTCAACCAATTTGAGCTTATCTGAGCTAAATTTTAGTTTCCTAAGTCAACACAGTACCCAACCTATGAGGTCCTTGTCCTTTGCATCGCATTTGCATCAGTTGATATATCAATAAGTAAAAGATTGTTACCCAACATTCCAACTAACTAGTCCCATATTAATATGTTGCTTTAGGAAAGCAGTCAACAAAGACTACATATGAGGATTGTAATGTCTAAAAATAACACACTATATCAGCTCTAGTGCTACTAACTCCTGAGTAACACAAACTTCGCAACAAGTAAATTGGTAAGTTATTCTATTTATTGTAGACTGGAAAATGAATACAGCAAGCTAAGGTTTAATTCAGCTTGCAAGCCACTCAATAAAAGAGTGTTAACCATTCAAAAGTGGGAAGTTGGATAATTGAGCTAACGACAACACATTAACTGAACATCCATTGCCTTCTATTATTGGGCATCAAAACTTAATTAAATAAAATATCATACGTCAAATATTCAGAAGTAGCATTTGATAATAGTCAATGGAAAAGTGATTCATGAAAAAAGCAGATATATAAGAGAGGGGTAAAAGAGATGTAGATGGAAAACTAGAAACGAATGATCATCCAAGTGTTTCCCGGAGAATGGGCAAAGAGTTGCAGGAAAAAGACAGATACGAAGGACGCACTTTGATACCAGGAACATGGCAAAAGAAAGCTTCGGGAGATTGTGAGTGATAGTGCCCACCATGGCCAACAGCCCCATATGGAGCTCTTATTGTTAGACCTGGAACATAACAAAAATTCAAGGATCTATAGATAGATATTTGAGTGAACAAAATCATAAAGAGAAAAGCATTACCTCCACAGTTAAATTGATTCCCACTTCGATACCTGAACTTAGCAGCTTCATTCACAATCTACAAAACATAGAGTTAGTTTAGAGACTTTGAATTCCAATCATATAAATTCATCATGGAATAGATGCATGCCTGATCAAAAGCTGGATAAATATAATCTGCAAACTGAATTTCCGCAATAGCTCGATTACCCTTGAATAAGAGAAAGAGTGTAAAGGAGAAATATATGAGATAGAGTATGAGAGAGATGAAGCTTTGTTAAAGAAGATAGAGTGACAGTCACCATTGCAGCAAGACCAATGCCAAAACCAACAATGCCCTGATGATGAAAGGATGTCAGTAACCAAAAAAAATAAAGGCAAAAGTTAAGAATGGTCGAAAGAGCAAAACCCCAGTACCTGTTCACAAAGAGGGGTATTGAAAACCCTGTTTTTGCCAAATTGGTCGGCCAATCCAATTGTACAACGAAAAACCCCGCCAAAACTGACGTCTTCCCCGAAAACGTAAGCACTGATGAACAAGAGCAAAGAGCAAAGAGCAGTTGATTGTAACGAGAAATTGAATGATCAAAGCTTTAATCATATAAGTGGGGAGAAATTGAATATGAAGAGACAATAGGGTTCCGCAATTGCAGAGAGACGAACCGAGGATCGGAGTCTAAGGCGATATGAAGAGCCTGATTGATGGCTGAGAACAGATTCATTGACTTCTGGTTTCCGTTTCGGCAGATATCATCATCCAATTTGAATGGGGGGGATTGGGGTGATGATGATGGTGCTGCGGATGGTGCTGCTGCTGCTGCTCCTGCGGAATACGCAGCCGATCCTCTCCTTGTTCCCAATCCAATGCCTCGGGCTACAACGTTTATCGTCGCTTTAGAAATTGCCATCCTTCAACACCTCTCTCGTAGAGATGGTAATTCAGGTATTCTCTCTTTTGCGTAATCAAATCAATCTCCCACCCACCTTCCCAATTCCCATATTTGTTTTATAGTTCCTTCTCAATCTTTATCCAGATCTTTTAAATGCACATAAGGTGTTAAATATGTCAATTTTATATAAGGCCGTTCTTTAGAGCTGTTCTGCTCTACTGAAATCTGCTCTGCTCTACTTTAATAATAATAAAATCTGCTTCGCTGAAATCTGCTCTATTCTGCACATAAGCTCAAAACAATAGGGCCTCTATATTAGATACGAGTAACAAATATTTAAACCGTTCAATCCGCGAGATAAGCATGCCAAATACTCCATCTCATCTACTACGAGTAGGATATTTCTACATTAAAAAAAAAAAAAAAAAATGTACTCCGTAGTATAATACTCCATATCCTTATTACCGACAGAGGAGTACTGAATAATTTATTAATTTTAATTTAGACTAAGAAAGGATAGGATTTATTGGATTGAAATGACGTATTCAAATCAAGAACATATATATTTGATTTTTAAAAAAAAATATTAAGAACATATACTTTGACTTTGACTTTCTTACATATAAAATAGTGGATTGAGATATCTTAACTCAAAATGCCTCTAATTTTTAGTATTGAACACGTTATGGTTGGGGAAGTACTCGAAATAGAAATGGAATATTATTATATACTCCATCTGTTTTTAAATACTTTTTCTATTATTTAAATACTTGTTTTATTTCCTTATTTAAATTTTTTTTTAAAAAACTTAATTCATTTATCTCAATTAGGAGACTGTAGACCCAATATAAATAATATTTTATTAATTTCATATTATCTCAACTACATTTGTTTTTTACAAATATTTTAGGGAATTGTTCCATACCCTTGTGGTTTTAAAAAATGCATTGTGCACCCCTGAAAACTTTTAAATGCATTGTATACCCTTGAGATATGTAAGAACGTGCACCAAATACCCTTAGACTTACAATAAATGTCAATTTTATTAAATTGTAACCCGCTTAGCATCAAATTCTATTAAATTATTACAATTTGATGCTACTATAATGCTAAACCAACTAATTATAAAGTAAACTTAACTCATAAAGCAAATTCAAACACCCCAAAGTTTAGGATTTAAAATGATCGACAGAGTTTAATTTTGATATAACTAGCCTTCTAACTCGTGCAATGCACGAGTTGTTTTTAGAAAATTGCATTGAGAAATAAGTGAGAAAATATCAATAAATTAGAGTAATGTATAATCGAAAAATGATTAAAGAAATTAATTTTTGGGACTTTAATTTAAAATGAGGCTTGAGAAAAAGAAGGTGGAGGGACTAAAATTAAAGCGAGAAAAAAAAAGGTTGAATTGAAGAAAGAAGATGAAGATGAATTGTTAAATGAAAGAGTTAAGAAAGATAGTGTAATAAAACTATAAAATCATTTAACAAATATGGAATAAATTATATTCTACTTATAAATATGATCAAATTAAAAAGTATTTGTAAGGTGACACTTGGCATATTGGGTTAAAAAGAAGATAGGGAGGTATAATATGATGAAAATATATGTCTTTCTCGGTTTGAGTTTTTAAGTACTAAGTATAGAAGTATAGATTTATGTTTTTAGGCGGTTTTACTAGATAAACATAAAGATGTGGGCATAATTTTAGTTTAATAAGTCAATGATATGTGCATTTGTTAGAGGAATAGGGTATTTGGTGCATTTATTTACAAGGGACTTGTTAAACATCGCCCGCGTTTTTCTACATAAAGCCCACATTTTTAAAAAATTTTGACATTATTGCCCTTGTTTTAATTTTTACCGAAATTGAAAATTTTCACTCACCAAAAATGTGGAGCAGGACTGGATCGCCGAGTGAAACCGAAGAGCCCTCAACGTCGGCTAGATGCACCGGAGAGACGCCGTTGACGCCGGAAAAGGAGGTACGAAGCCATCTAAAACCACGAATTGGCGGCTGGCGTCCTGCCGGGACGCCGTGACCGTGGTGGCGGCGCCTAGCCAGGACGCTGCCTCCGCAGGTAGGGCGCCTGGCCAGGACGCCGCCACCGTGGCCGTAGCGTCTGGCCAAGACGCCGCCACCATGAAAGCGGCGTCCAGGCCAGGCGCCATCGCCACGGTGGCGGCGTCCTGGCTAGACGCCACCGCCACATTAGCGGCGTCCTGGCTAGGCGCCACTGCATTTTTTTTTTTTTTTTTTTTAATTTAATTTAAAAATTGTTTATTTTTTATTTTTTTTTTGTGTTACAATTTTTTTTTGGTTTTTTTTTGTTTTGTTTTTAATTGTTTTAAAATGTAATGTAAAATTTTGTGTTTGATTTTTGTGTTTTTGATCGCTATGTTTTTTATGTTTATGTTTTTTTTTTGTTTTTTTTTTTTTTGGTTTTTTTTTTTTATTTAATCTAAAGTTTTGTTTATGTTTTTTATTTTTGTGTTTTGTTTTTTTTTTTTTTTTTTTTGAATACTTTTTGTTTATGTTTTTTATTTCTTTGTTTGTTGTTTATATTTTATTATTGTTTTTGCTTTTGTGCTAATGTTGTGTCAAATGTATTAATTTAATCTAATCTTATGTGATTATATTTATATGTTATTGTTGCAGGATTATGGTGGAGACGGAAATGATTATAGTGGGATTTTTGTACACGATGGTCTGTTCGAAGATGCTCAACAAGCGGTTGATTGGGCGAAACATGTTGCAATTAGATCAGGTTTTTGTTTAGTAGTAGCAACTCATAAATCTCAACGGGATGGTAGAATGGATCGCATTTTGAGATGCGACCGTTATCGCAAAAGGGAGGAACGAGATTTCAGTCAAGCGATTCGGTTTGATACAAAGCGGAAAGGTTGTGGGTGTCAGTTCAGAGTAAAGGTTCGACAACAGCAAAGGGGTGACGGTTGGGAAGTGAAGAGTTACGGTAAATGGGGGTATCACAACCATGAGATGATCGCATATGAAGTGGGTCATCGACAGTTAAGTGGCCTAAGTCCTGGTGCGAAACTAATTGTAAAAGAAATGAGTGATGCTCAAGTGAAGCCTGCTAAAATATTAGCATCTGTGTTGGAGAAATTTCCTGAAGACCAGCCAAACCGAAGACACATCTACAACGTCAGACAGAAATTGAGGTTTGAACGGTCAGAGGGAAGGAACCCTATACAGCAGCTTCTACACCAGGCACAAGCACGTGGTTACCTGTACTGGTTTGAATCTGATGAAGACACATCGGAGGTGACTCATTTGTTCCTTGTGCATCCTGATTGTGCTGATATGATTTCGTCTTGGCCATCTGTGATTCTGATCGATCTAGTTGCCTTTTCTATGTGACCTTCTATTGTTATTGCTATGTTTTTCCCATTTATTTAATTTTCGGATTCTAATTTTCGTATTTAGTTTTCCCATTTAAATGTGAACTTGTATTTAATTTTCGTATGCCCACTAATTACAACTTAAAATAAAAATTATAAAAACTAAAAATATAATGTCAAATTCTAAGAACTTAAAATAATAATTATAAGAATAGATAATGTTAACTTTTACAAACAACTAGGAAAATGTTATATAAATGCACTGCCGACATATCAATAATCTCTCTGTGACGCCCACTGCCACTGCTCAAGGGCCCGTTCCAGTTCATCAATAACAGCTCTGCCTGTTGCAGTCGTCATGTTGTCCCTCTCCTCAAAAAGTCTGTGTACCAACCGCGTCATCTTTCCCATCCACTACACATAACAAAACACATAAAATTCAATAACGACGTATTATATGAAAAAAAACACAACTACAAATGTTTTATGAGACGTACCGCATCCACGGCAGTGGGCGGTGGCACATCATCATCATCGGCGTCGTCGCCGTGGTGGACGTCTCTGATCAACCTCGGGTGCGAGTGCCGGTTGTACCACTCCATGTAGTGCTGGTCACACATGGCAGCCACCCTAGTTGGCGGCCGCTGCAGCTGCTCAATCCATATGCGGGCAACCATCGGAAACTGCTCCCACGTGCCAATCATGCTTGCCGGCCATTGGACGACGTACTCCTTCGACGACGCAGATCGGACGGCCATTGGACGACGTACTCCTTCGACGACGCAGATCTTAACACCGCCGTGATCCCACACACCAAGTGCCGCTGTGTACAGCGCAGCCCTATCCACCGCCAACAGCTCCGCCAATAAATCTGCCTGATCCGCATCTGTGACAACAGATGCTCGGTTTCCCTCTACGGGAATCCCAAGGATGGCCTCGACGTCATGCAACATGATCGTCATCTCACCGAACGGAAGGTGGAAAGAGTTCGTGTCCGGCTGCCATCGCTCAACGAAAGCCGTGATCAGCGTCGAGTCAATCCTCTCATGCATGGTGGCAGGAAGGTGGCTCACTCTAGTGCCCCTCAATCGGCCGACCATCTCGCTCTCCTCCGGCCAAGCCTCAGCCCAACTACACAAGAAGTTACAAGTCCTCTCCCGGGTTTGGCATTTCAAAATGCCGCTATCCAAAGCCCACTCCTGGTCCTCCCAAATATGGGTAGCGATGTGTCCTAGAAAGCTAGGAATCACACTCCCGTCTATAGGTCCCCCGGCCACCTCACCCCTCACCATCCAAGAATCATTAACGGCCCTCGACCGTTTTCTGCTACCCGCAGACACAGTGGACGCAGATGATGTGCCAGATCTACTAACAAACCTACCATCTCGACCCTTACGCACATCTACCCTATGCGTCTCATACGTATCATCAAGCCTCTGACTGAATGGACCGTAATCATCATATGGTCCACTCTGATCGTCGACATCCTCATCAGCATCATCCTCGTCCTCGACCTCCTCCTCCTCCTCCTCCTCCTCCTCATCATCATCATCATCATCTTGATCATCCGCAGAACAGTGCACCCGTTCTCTGCGGGCCGAGGCCGAAATACCACGGGATCTAACGTGTCTGGGCCCCGAGCTCTCCATTGAGTAGATCGTACTCCTCACGACGTCAATACTCTTCCCCACACCAGGTCCAAATTGCGATGCCTAACTCCAAGTAAATAACGAAACATAATAACGAAAACAAATTAAAAAAAAGTCGAAAATAAACACAAAAGCAAATAAACAAGTTACGGAAATAAAATTATAAACATAAAAAATATAAATATAAACAAGACAATATACATATAAACATAAGAAATATAAACATAAACATATACCAAAAACAAAAAATATAACCAAAAACAAAAAATATAAACTACAAACAAAAAAAAAAACAAACATAAACAAAAACAAAAAATATTACCAAAAACAAAAAATATAAATACAAAAAAGGACGAAAATAAACACAAAAGCAAATAAACAAGTAACGGAAATAAAATTATAAACATAAAAAATAAAAACATAAACAACACAATATAAATAAAAACATAAAAAATATAAATATAAACATAAAAAATATAAATATGAACATAAAAAAATATAAATATGAACAAAACAATATACCAAAAACAAAATATATAACCAAAAACAAAAAATATAAACAACAAACTAAAAAATGAAAAACATAAACAAAAACAAAAAATCAAAAATGCAAAGAAAAACCAAAAACAAAAAACTAACAAAACTTAAAAAATTTAAAATTGCAAAAACTTAAAAAAAGAAGAACATCAAAATTTTAAAGAAAATTTATAAAAAAAAAAAGGGAACTTATAATTTTTTTACATACAAAAATATAATTCAAAAAAAAAAAAAAACAATACATAGGAACATAAAATTAAAAATTAAAACCAGAAACAATTTTTTTTTTAAAAAAAAAATAGAACATAAAATTAAAACAAATAAAAAAACAAAATTTAAAAAAAAAAAGGGAACATACAATTTAAAAAAAAGAAAAACAAATTTTAAAAAAAAAAAAAAAAAAATTTCGAAAATAAAATTTAAAATTAAAAAAAAACAAAAAAAAATTAAAAAAAAAAAAAAAAGGAGGAGGCGCCTAGGCTAGACGCCCGTACGGTGGTGGCGGCGCCTAGCCCAGACGCCACCACCACGGCTGTGGCGCCTAGCCTATCCGCCGCCGCCGTGGTAGTGGCGTCTGGGCTAGGCGCCGCCTCCACCGTACGGGCGTCCTGCCTAGGCGCTTTCTCCGTGGTGGTGGCGTCTCGCCTTGGCGCCCCACCGTCGCCGGAGGTTTTTTTTTTTAAAAAAAAAATTACAAAAATTACCTTCTCGCCGGCAAACCGCCTTCCGCCCACCGCCGGAGCCGCCAATTCCTTGCCGGGCCGCCTCGACATAGCTCGGGAAATAATTTAGAGAGAGAAAGTGGAAGTAGAGAGTAGAGAGAGAAATTGTGTTTTTTAGTTTGAGGGCAAAAGTGTCATTTCACTCTTATTTTGTGGGCTTTATGTAGGAATTTGCGGGCGATGTTTAACAGTTCACATTTACAAACCTCTGGGGTACATGATGCATTTTGAAAGTTTTCGAGGATACACGGTGCATTTTTTATAACCTATCTCCATATTCTTCCACCCACCCCACTACCTCCATATTTTATTACTATCTATCATTTCTCCTAAAACTTCGCATATGAAAAAATGGAGCACGTATTTAAAACAGAGGGAATAATCGCAAATACATAACAAACATAAAAAATAGTTAAATCATATGGAAGAGAGAGAAAAATGGAAAGAGTTGGTCAGATCAAGGGTTTTTTTTTTTTTTTTAAAGAACATCAAGGGGTATATTTGTTCACGCATGCGTGAAATTACTTATGCATCCCTTGTTAAGTACCAGCAAATACATTATACTATTTTACTCCCTTTAAAATGCCACGCTATGGTCTATCTGTATTAGTAATGGATAAATAATTAAATATGATTGGTATCCATAGTATGATATCCAAGATTTCCCTGTGTAAGATGCCACTAAATCTTAAGATTAAGGGTGACAGAAGTGCTTGAATATATAAAAGTAAGATTGAAAGACACCAACAGTGTTGCTATAACGAGCAAAATTGAATACTTTGTATAAAAATTATATTTCGAGTAATAAAGAAAAGGATCGGTTAAGAGAAACTCTTGAATCCTGTTATGAAGCCTATATAAAAGGAGACCTAAAACTCTAGCAGCTGAAAACCTATCTCAAAATCAAGAGCAATATGATGTTCCCAGGAAGTAATTTAGCACGTTCTTGATGATTTTGCTGATGGACTGTCTCACTATTTCACTGTAATTATTAACATCCTTGAGGTTGAAGGATTGCGCATTAGAAATGCACTTCAGTGTAGTTATCTATTCCAAGACAGCAAACAACCAAACAGAAAATCAGGCTTCAAAATTGCAGCTAGCAGAAGCTAACAACCCTTGGCAACTCCATTCACTGCACCATTTTCAGACACCCCTAGTTTGGAAATCTTCGCACATTCCAAACTTTTTGCAAGACCAACATCAGAGAACGTCTTGGCCTCACCACTAGAGTGAACAGACAAGGAAACCTTGCTCAGATCTAAGGCAACCTCTACTAACTTGTTCAGTTGTTCTCCATTGCTTCCGTCTTTATTCTTATCCCCCGTATTCTTCCCTTCCCATACCTGTATTACAAAGGCAGCACGCCTTAAAGATGCACTTTTAAAATAAACTGCACGGTTAACTTAAAAACAAGCTAGTGAAATTGTCAAACCTGCTTATGAAACTGCTGCTGTTTAGCCTTCTTCTCTTGGATAGTCTTCTGACGCACCTCATAGAAGCCAAAGTCATCCAAAATGCAAGTTTTGCTGGTGTGCTCCTTAAATATTTTAAGCATTTGAAGACCTTGCTCCAACTTGATCTAAACCAACCAACAAAGGCTCTTGTCAACAGGCAAAAATAAAAAATTATTACACCATATAGAAAGGGAGAGGGGGAGAGAAAGGGGTGGGTGCGTGGGTGTATGTGTGTGTGTTTGGGGGGGGGGGGGGGATATATGTATGCACTTATGAACTAGAGTATCAGATATACCTCTTGAGTATCTCGACTGTTAGTCACGGGTTTGTTTTCATTGTTTTCAAGAATAATGTTCTTCAACAAGCTGTTAGGCACATCCTTCACCATGTGCCACTTCACTGGGAAATTACCATTCCACTTGTCTTGCTGCCAATACTCAACATTCTTTTGAAAATCAACTGGCCCCACCATTTCTGCTAGGCCAACAAACTGCCCGCTGGTATTAACCTAAACATTGATTTTCAGAAGCATCAGTACATTCGGATTTTCCTGGGAACAGAGTAAACTGCTACAGCTTAAAAGTGAATCAACATCAAGCCATAATGGAGAGTCCAAACTCACCGAAAAAAAAAAGAAACACCGGACAGCCACTAGACTTCTGTTGAGCTTCCTTGTATGCTAAGTCGAGCTTCTTGTTGCCATTTGGGGTGCTGGACCATACACTGTACTTGATACTCTTGTGGACATCATCCTCGCTGTAAGACTTGATGACAAAGAATTTAGCTTCTGTATAACCTTCATTGAAATCAAGACTATTATATTGTTCTCTATCAGGAATCATATTCAAATTTGCCTTCTCATCCTGGCTTCCGCTAGACACATTGCTCTGCCCTCTAACAGCCAACGCAGCAGGAGCAGAGCTCCTTAAGCTCTTAGACCCCTTAGCTCTGGGCCCCCTGTTGAGCTCATTTAAACCATCCATGTTCTCATTGCCATAACCCAAGTAGCCATTGCCTCTTCCTTTGTTCTTGAACTTGCTATCAACAGCAAACCATGCACGACCATTGATACGCGCATCATACCCATCGTTTCCGAAGCCCAGACCTGCTCTTGCACCATTAGTATATTGACCATATAATTTGTTCGGATACATCCTGTTGATATACCCATGAGTTGCCCCCATGCTAGTCATTGGCCTTGGTTGATGAAAAGTCTACAAATTTTAAGAAATTCATTAAGTTATATTCAGATGAACCTTTAGGCATTAAAGTGATTAAAGAGAAATAACCCATACTTCCATATTCATAGTAGCCACAACCAGAATACATGAGGGGAAGTTGAGCATACATTAGATCAATCACTTCATATAGAATCTATTATAATTTGACATTTAGGAGGATGACATAACTATCAATCAATACATCAAGGATTATCTCCATCCGAAAAATTGGCTACGTATACTAATTTGGGACATGCAAAATAGGTGATTAGGTTTTTCCTGAAATTGTAAAAGATGATAATTACAATGAAATTTCTTATAAAATACAGCGTTAGAAAGATAAGTGAGATTACTTCCTCCGTTTTTAAAAAGTTTTGTTTTTGCTTAAACTTATTTCGTGAGGCAATCACCATCCAAATAGGAAGAACTTTAAGAGATGAAGGGATTGGTATACAGGGTATTAATTTAGAGATACCAAGTTGAAACCTTAGATTGACATTAAAAGGTTTGTTTAAAATAATGTACTGATATAGGAATTCAAGTGGGCATAAATGGCAATCTAAAGTAGGAAAAGGAAGTTAAATTGGTTTCAGCAACAAACACAAGAAAGCAAGGAAGGCATAATGTACCATGACACTAGCATGAGGACGCAAATTCTGAGTTGTAGAAGACGGAGGAGGTCCATTAGCATGTGACACCGACGAAGGAAACGAATTGTTAGTAAGAGGCCTTGGGTGACCATCAGCAAAAACAGGGCCATCTAACCAAGGAAGTGGAGACCTTACTCCATCAAATGCAAATCTTGGATCTTGATAACCAGAAGCAGGAAGAGCAGCAGGTTTCCCAAAAGGTGGCACGGTGTATGTAGAGTTGTGATATGCAGGCCTGATACTGGGTCCCTTGGCATTGACATTTGAAACAGCGTTAGAAGGGTCACCAGAGAGAGGAGTCTGTACAGTGGGGGCAGAGGACACCTCAGGTGGTGGTGGGTTAGTAAAAGCTCCAGGAGGGAAATAAGGGGCAGAATATTGATATTGCTGATGTCCAAATAGGTGGGTATCATGAGGCATGGGTGGAACAGGCGAAGTTGCGGGAGAATAGGGAGCATAAGGAGCATAACCAAAGCCATGATACATAAGAGAAGCATTGTCAGCGTAGAGTGCCTGGAAAAAAAAAAAAAAAAAAAAAAAAAAGCAAGTGAGTCAATAGAAGGCTAAGGCTGCAACTAAGCTAACGGAGTTGGAAATCAAAGAGTTAACTCACTGGAGACATCTCAACTCCATCTTGGTTCATATATCTAGAGTAATCATCCCAATCATTACAGCTGCCGTCGTAGCCTAAAAGCCAAAGGCAAATTGTTATAACACAATTCAATGATACAAACAATTCAATTCAGAGATAGAACACAATTTAAAGATACAACCAATTCAATTCAAAGATATAAGCAATTCAATTCAGAGATAGAACACAATTTAAAGATGCAACAAATTCAATTCAAAGATATAACATAATTCAATTCAAAAAGTAGTTACCGCCATAGTAGTAAGGATAAGTGTTGGGAAGATAACACAGGGAAGGATCCATGAAATCAGGCAGCACAGGAGTCACACATCTGTCATTGGACCCACCGTTTGCGTTCGGAGTATCCATTTGGGAGGTAGGAGGCTGGATTGAATTGAATTGTAATACTCAGCTTATTTGATAAACTATTCTGATAATTGAAATGAGTTGAAATGAATTGAAAGGAACCTTTTTGGCGGCCTCGTCCAAATTGGATTGAGCCTGGGAATCCAAAGACAAGTTCTGCAGCAATCCTGCGGCTTCTACATTAGAGTAAAGGAAATCAACAGTTACAAAATACAGATTACAATTAAAAATACCAGACAGATCTGAAATAATAAGTAGAAGAAAGGATACGATCAGCGGAAGGTGCAACAGCTGCCATAGCCAGATCTCGGAAACGCTTAAACCCTAAAATAAAAACTGAAAAAAAAAAAAGGGGTTTATGATTTTGGCAAGGAAGAGAGATAGAAAGAGAGTGACAAGGAAAAGGGGTAATGGGACTCACTCACTCCCAGCCGCCCGGAAAACAACAATTACTCCTTCCGGCTAAATCTCAACGGGCAGACAGAGATACAGATAGAAAGAGCGGCTAAACCCAGGAAAGGGTTTTCTTCTTCAAATTGCTGTGATTCAAATTGCTCCACGGGGTTACGTGCCCCCACCAAATCAACCATTTTAATAAATCTTTATTTGACTGACCCATAATTTTAAGCAATTTAAATAAAATAATAGATGAGAGATAGTATAATATTACATATTTAAATGTAGTTTTTTGTAAAAAAAATTAATTAAAAAAATATAATTTATTAAAATACGGAACGGTATAGTATTATTCATACTTCTTCTATTGATAACTCAAGTGATTATTCCATACTTCCTCCGGATAACTCAATGATTAGAGTTTCTCTTTCGATTTTATGAAATTCTAAAATCTTTATAGTTTATATAGTCTACTTAAATATAATGAATAAATGAGGAAATATATAACTATAAACTAAAGGTTCAAAACTAAAGCAATTAGTAATACAAATGTACAACAACATTAGCGGATTAGTTTTAAATGCCACTAAATTCATTAGTGGTTCAACTATAAAAACAATGCCCAAATGAAATAAAGTCACAACTCAATTCATTCAATTAAAGGTTCTTCTAGATATAGAATTGTTAATGCCATCAAAGGGTTCTATACATCAATACATGAACCTCTATTGATAATAGCTGTTATATTCAAGATAAAGATGTCACCACTAATAGCGATTTAAACTAGCAAAGAATAAAATAAAAATGAAACTAAAAATTGAGCTGGACATTATGCACATAATTAGTTTTTAAACCAACGCATATAAAGAACTAGTTTATCTTGTAGCATTATTCGAGTATATCGCTCAATGGTAGTGGTGGGCCTGGTGGCTGGTGAGGAGATGGTGCTTCAATGGTGGAGAAAGCTTTCCTTCAAAGTTGATAAGCCATTTTCAATTAAGAAATAAGAGTAAGTGGTTCAATGGATGAGACATGAGAGTGAATAGGAGAAGGGCATAATGATCTGTTAAAACAATGTGGGCGGCGGTAGTATGTAAAATGAAGGCAACGTTAACATATCCCAAAATAACAGATTAATCTTTGCAACTCCTTGTCATATAATTCAATTCACGTACTATCAAACACATTTTGTACAACAGATCCCTTCTATTTCACTAAAGAGTGATACATCCAATATTTTCCTCAAGTTCGTGATTGAACTTGACCATTTCTATTTTTTTTTTTTTTTTTTTTTTTTTTGGCAGAGACAATTTCTAAATTTAAAGAAAGGTACATCCAAAATTTTCCTCAAATTACAAAATCTTATTCATGTGACAAATAAATTTTTCTCAAGACACAAAACTCAGCTAAGCCAGAAGCAGCTACCCATGAACAAGCACTTGATGTTCAGACGGGTAATCCTTAATATGACATGACAGACACGTTGGTTCCAGCTCCAGTTCATATTCAAATCTCACTTCTTTATTAATTCTGAACCTTGAGGACAGGGAAAGCAATAACATCCCGAATGCTGGCAGAGTTGGTTAATAGCATCACCAGCCTATCAATTCCTAATCCCTGTCACGATAAACTCCTCTCTGTTAGTTCACAGCTTCACACAATACATAGATAGGTAAAAAAATAAGAAATTAATTGATACTATAAGCTTTACTACCTCCGATTTTTTTTAGTTGCAACTTTGGGGAATTATTTGAGAGATATAAAATATTCCAAAGTTACAACTAAAAAAATCGGAGGTAGTATTAAAATATACATAATTGAAAACAGGCAGGCTCAGCTAATTCAATTATCCTGCTGATGCAAATATAATGTATCTGACCAACAAATCAATCTTATCAGTAAATTTTTGTTGCAGTTAAAATTCATGAAAAGCCACTCAACTAATTAGATCTTGGCTCCGTTGAAAATCAATGAAGCCTTCATGCTAAAGGATCATACACTCAACCAAGTAGATAAACCTAAATATGAGGCACATATGAAATGTATCATGGCATAACTGAATTTTGAATTGAATGCATGTTACTCAGCGCAAATTACAAGAGACTTGGTGGTGCTTTCAAAAGATTTATTCAGACAGCTTATAGCTTTGTAAAACCCATCACAAGTTTGACCAAATCAAACTTCTATGAGTGATTTTGAGTACCTTCATATTAGGTTTATGGGGGGTGCAAATCAAGCTTGGAACTGAAGCTTATTTTGGCGAATATGCCCAATAAACAGAAGCAGCCATCATGTTTTACTTGCAGGTCTTTTAAACCATAAATTCCGTATAAGATACATCAGAGTAAGTATAAAGCAAAAACCAACACTAGAGCTAATTTTCCCAAACAAGAACATTGCCTATACAATGAGGTCAAATAAACTTACACGATCAAATAGCAGTGAACCACCTAGTGCCTAACAAGACAGCAAAGCTCATCTAGACTGGGGACTCCTAATACTACCTAATTTCAGATAGTGACACATGGCCAATAATTTTCAAATGTCTTTAGCACACAAGTAAAAAAGAAAGGACATTTATCCACATAACTTGAGTTTAAGAAGGGTGTCGAGGCTTGGAAAAAAAACCAGCTAGCCTACCCTACGGGAAAAGAATTTCACCTTAAACAAGTATTTATTCATCAATGATGTGCACGGTACAACCAAGGCTTAGGTTTATTTAGAAAATAATCCATCTCAAGCACAATAGAAAGACATGCTTTTTTTTTTTGAAGGCATAGAGAGACATGCTTAACAAGCCAATTATGCTCAATTCTCAAAAGAAGGTGATGCTCATGAGGGTTGATAGCAAGACGCAAAAAGAAATAGAAAAATATACACGAACCATCCCAGAAGCTGGAGGCATTCCATATTCTAGCGCCGTCAGAAAATCCTCATCAAGAGCCACCTCATAGGAGTTATCTTCACTTTTATCACCCTTGTGACCTGCCTCCAATTGCTTCTTCTTATTGTGCTGCCTCACTTGCTCTTCTAGGCGTAACCTCTGTCTCAAGAAAAAAATATGCATATAATAAATAAAAACTAGAAGTTTCAGTAAACTGCAAAAGGAACACAAGTACATGTTGAGAGATATCCCAACATATTTCCGGTAACATGCCACATCTTAATCCACATGTATCTCAAGAACGGCAATATATTTCTTCTAACTGTACAAAAAAGCACAGTTGTGACAAGAATTTCTTAAATTTTAGAATGATAATCTCCAAGCGGCCATTATTAATTCACGATTCTACTTGCATTACATTATTCTTTTCCACATTGTATATTTGTATTAGCATAATTTCATTGGATACAGAAGTAATAAAAAACAGTGGAGACCACTATATCTCCGCCTATGTAACCCCAAAACAACACTCTACCCTGAGACTCTGGCTCAACTTATTGGACATGGGGACTTAGGTCCTGAATTTTGACAACACAAAATAATTTTGTCCACTTTACCTCTGTTTTCATACTTTTCTCCAACTACAAGGGTACAAATAAAGAATTGTATAAATATTTGAATTGCTACCTGATCCATAGGATCTGTTAATTCAGAGAATGCATTTGCTAGCTCCCGGCCACAGATGAACAGTTCAAATCTCTCAGTCAGACCAACAGAGCTGCATCAAATAAAAAGTGTACAAGACAAGTATAAAAATAGATACATCATACCGATATCACAAACAGCCAATATAGTTTAACTGTATATGTCAGTAAATGAAGCAAGATTAAAAATCCTTTAAGAGGTTGATAATCAGGCTCAACGGAAAAAGGTTACTACACAATTAATTTGGTAATTTTCCAATGGGGAGAAAACCCCGTGTGAAGGATTATAAAAATTGCAAATCATGCAAACAACAGAATAAACAATCAAAAATATAAAAAGTGAAGGAACGTGTGGATGAAGGAACTTATAAGGGACCAATTTATGGCCCTGATAGGTAATAAGTGGGTAGCTGATTGCATTGATTGATATGATTACCTTGTAGCATTGCATGTTTTGACTAGCTGATTCCATTAACCTAGGGGTGGCAATTCGGATCCATAGATCGGGTTCGGGTCATACTTGGGGTCGATTTCAGATTATGCTTAGAAAATTATCATAAATAGTGTAAAACTTAATATTATTATTATGAAATAGGAAATTTGCGTCAAATCAGGTCAAGTTCGGGTTGTTCAGGTTCGGTTCAGGTTTCTCTCAGTAACTTTGGGTCGGGTTATCAGGTCGGGTCAAGGATTGTCAGCCCTACATTCACTGATTGAATAAAATTGTTTCGTAAAATAAGCTAATAAGATGTAGTTGTTTTGTTACTTGAAAATGTGCAACGACAAATTAGGACATTGTTATTTGGGTGGGTTGGGATGTAAATCATAGTAACTTTAGGACAAAATTGTTGTTTGGCTAAGATTTCATAATCAACTAATAAAAAAAAAAAAGCTCCACTTTTTTTTGCTTATTACAAATTGATGATTTTAGCTCAATGAACTCATTGAAAATATGTATAAGGATAACATTCCAAACTTCTAGACACCAAATAAAACAAATAAGAAAATCAATAGGAAAAAATTGATAATATAATCCCAACTTTCGCCGGTTCGCTCAAAATAATCCCAACTTTAGATTATTTTTAAATAATCCGAACTTTAAGGGTTCATTTGCTCAAAATGATCCCAATCGTTCACCAACTTGTTACAGCAAGTTACGATAACAAGTGTCATCACATGAATGTTAAAAAATTAAAATAAATAAAAATAAAAAAGAAAAAGAAAAAAAAAAAGAAAAACTTTAATAATTAAACAAAAACCCAGCCCCACTCATAACCAACGTTCCCACCACCACCCATGACTTCCCCGGAAACACCCACCTCCGTCTCCGCCTGAAATTCCCCGCGCCGGCGCCTTGACCCTACCTCCGGTGTGCCGGCGTCGGCGCTCCACTCCCGTACCACCTAAATCACCTATTTCAACCCTAAAACCACCATTATTAGAACCTAACGCAAAACCGCCCAATCCACTCCCTTAACAATGCCTATCCCCCCCGCAAAAACCTCTAAACGGCCATCCCCTGCCCTTAAAACTCTAGAGACTAGCGTATTGAGGGTGGGAGAGGGCCGATTAGGGGGTTTGTGCAGTGGGGTTGCGTTTTTTTAGGTGTTTCAGGTATGAGTGAGGAGGTTTTTGGGAAGGTGTTTTGGTAGTTTAGGGGGTATGGGGAGTGGCAGCTTCGAAGTCGGCGTGGGGGAGAAAGGTTCTGGGCGCGGCAGCAGGGTTCTGGGCGCGGCAGCAGTTAAGGGCGGGGTCGAGGTTCTGGCGGTGGGAGGAGGCGGTTGTCGGAAAGTTGGTGGTGGATGGGGTTGTTTTTTTAAAAAAAATATGTAATTTTTTATTCAACTAATCATGTTATGACACGTGTCTTCTTTATCAGGTTACCGGTAACATAGGACTATTTTGCGCGAATAACTATCAAAGTTCAGATATGAGCGAACCGCGAAAGTTGGGATTATTTTTACCAATTTTTCCAAATCAATATGCATACTTTGGATGCCTTATTAATGGTGTTATTAAAATGTAAAAGAAGTTGGATGGTGAATAAATGGTTTAGACTTCAGAATGCTATCTACAATTGTGCACATCCAAAATAAAAATCATGAATCCACCTCTCACAGCCATCATACTAGCCCACCAGGCCACCACTACGCCAGACCCTATTTCTCCTAGTACGACGTGGATTCTGAGGATTTAATTCAAGGTTTATATGATCCTTTAATAAAGCAAATATTCATCGATTCTGACCTACTAGTAAAAGTCAATTACCTTGCAACCTCTAACGCTTTCTACTTTCATCTGAACCTTTAGCAGTTAAATTACTTTTTTTCCCTAGTTTGGCAAACTTTCTTACACAACCAGCACGGATAACAATCTCCTAATTTTCAAACATAAACCACTTATCTCTGCTACTTTGTCTAACACATCCCTAAACTTTCTACACTCTTGCCCACTCTCATTGGTCTCTATTGCTACAAACCATCATTTAGAAACTTGATTATGTAAAATTCTTCTTTAGTTGACAAAAACTGGTGAGTTAAATTTTAAGAGCAAATCGGTTTCTAGCAAATAGCTATAAACAAGTCAAAATTTAAAATTTCCCATGAACTTGGTAATACCTATGTGTGATAAGATACACTATATATATAGGTTACCTTCTGTGTGGTTTAGCTAAAGGAGATACTTCAATGGGATAATCTAGAACAAATGTAGGTTGGAGGAGCTTTGGTTCCACAACTATCTCAAAGACCTGAAGAGAAAACACAAAAGTAATGTTAACAAATAAAGTATTAGTTCATTTACTATGGAAAAGGTCCGCAGACAGAGAACCAATCTAGAGATATTCTACACAAAAATAAAACTAATATCATGACGTCACTTTGCTACCAATTCACAGAAACTGCCTAATGGGAGTTCTGAGGTAAAGATATAAAGCTAACCTCATTAAGAACATGACCAACTGACGGACACTTATCTATAGCAAATTTGTCCTTTTCCTCAAGGTTGCTTCCAAGTGTTTTCATAGTAATTTCCTTAGCAGCTTCAAGTTCATCATCAAACATGTTAAAGTCAATTCCAGAGGCTTCTTTAACAAGATTGTGCATGGTCTCCCTCCTCCAAGGCCGTTCTAAAGATATAGTTGTTCCCTAAATCAAGGCCACTGCTTTCGATCAGATAAATAATATTATGTTTAAAATAATCAATTGAATCTAACAAATATGAAACAAGCGAGAAAATATCGAACAATAATTCTAGGGTTTTTAAGTTTTTTTAATGAGAAAAAAACTTATGTTAATGGGGGTGCCAACTCCCAAGTTGTGTTACCCACATACAAAAGAGAGAGAAGTAATTCCAGAGGAAGGGTTTAGCTTAGTACACTCAGAGCAAAAAATTAATAAATGATTTTTTTGTGCAAAACGTTGGTTTAGCATGATTTTAAGCAGCTACTAGGGCAAAATTAGAAATTCAAACCATTTGTTACGACATTTTTTACCCAAAAATGATTGAAACTTGGTGCTTTAAACAAAATACATAAACCTTCCATGGCATCAATCAAATGTGACTCTCCTTTCTATTTGGACTGTCCTGGAGCATTGACCTTTTAAATTATTAAATGCAAACTCATCAAAATCAGCTTTATATATTTCTACCCACTTTTCATTTTGAGGGGTTTTTGGGTCTGCCCGCTTCAATTTACTCAATTTTTAGCAAACTCCTTTCACCAACTCCCATCAACTTTATATATATATATATCTACAGCTCCCTCTATTTCAATTTGTTCTACCAATTTTTATTTTGAAGATATTTTAGTTCTGCTTGCTACTACGTTACTCTATTAAGACAGATGATAATAAGGTAGGACGAAAAAATGGAGTATAATAATCAGACAGTTGAAACAAAAATAACAACTGTTGCAAGATATTAAGACAAAGAGTTGCTATCTAAAGTAAAATTAAGTTTCCATAATCCCGTTGTTTCATCATTTCCCATAACAAATTCTATATATATGGAGTATCTAATATGGCTTCATTATAATTCTATAGTTTGCATAATCTGACTCAGTGACTCTTATTTGAAAAGGAAAAAGAAAGAGGACATCTGGCAATCTAGCATCAAGCATGTTGACAAATACAAGTGTTAACACCTGCATATAGAATTTGTGTGCACACACACGCACGCATTTTTTACCTGATACTCTATCGTAAGCTTTCCTTGGGCTACAAGAGCACATCGGGTAACGATTTCTTCTACCATGACCATCATGCTATCATAGTCTGAATATGCTTCATACAACTGAAAATTAAGCAAGTTAATTCATTATTAAAATATGACCGTTTCTTACAAAGTAGCAACAATAACCTGCTCAGGGCTTAATGGAAAGGCAAAGCAGGACAAGATGGAGGAAAACATAAAAGTTTGATTTAAGTTTACAACCTCTATAGTGGTGAATTCGGGATTGTGACGCGTCGAAAGACCTTCATTTCTGAATATTCTTCCAATTTCATACACCTTTTCAAAGCCCCCAACCTGCTCATCAAAGCCAAAGGCGAATTGAGAAGATTGTAACCACAAAAACGAAAGAGATGATGGCAATAGGGCTACTTGTAGCAAGAGTTTGTAAAAGCTAAGTATCATTAAGAGCATCAACCTAAGCCTCCTATTGGGCTCACTTATTCTAGAAGGAGCTCAAGGAATAAGATAGAGAGTGTGTAGCTGATATGATAGGGTAGAAGAAAGTACGGTAGAAGAAATATAAAAAATTAACTTAATAATCGGGATTGGTGGAACGCGAGTAACAAGTGCTACTGATATAATAATAGAGAAAAGCTAGTAATGAAGAACTATACAAAGAGTAGTCAGAGGTATAATTTGTGAGAGGAAAACCACCTTTCAAAGAGAGGTTAGTTTGTATAAATTTCCAACACTAATTAAACATACCCTAAATTCATCTATTCTTCATAATCATTTTAAATTGTTGAGAAACTTACTTGACATTTAGCACATTGACTAAGATTGAAATTGCAGTAATTATAAGACATACATTACTTTAGCACAGTCAAGAGAATACAGTTACTAGCACTTTGTTTAGTTACTGAAAGAAGATACCCAGAAGCCATATGAAAAAGCATAGTAAGTCTCACCAGCATCCTCTTCAAGTGAAGTTCGGTAGCTATTCTCAGATATAAATCCCTTTCCAGTGAATTATGGAATGTAACAAACGGTCTTGCCTCTGCTCCACCAGCTGCTCCCTAGTTGATAAATAAGTGGGTATCAATATATATATATATATATATATATATATATATATATATTTGGTATGGTCTGAAATTTCCAATCTAGTCTGGTGCTCTGGTGTGTGATTTTTTTTTTCTTTTTACCTGGCCAGAATCATTATCTTTAAAAATTCAGTCTGCTATGTCTATTTTATATCATCTAGCCTGGTTTGAATCTGTATGGTTTAGACGGATGTTAACAAGAATCAGTAATAACTTTGATAAGTAATAAGAATAAGTTGAAGAGAACAAAAGGTTGGGTGATACTTGTGCAGGAAGCATTTATAGTACCTTCATTCAAAAAGAATCTTCACTACTGCACATATCCCAATTTACCATATTATTTAAAGAACAGAAACTATGACACCAACATCGTTAGAGCGGTTCCTGAGATGGTAGCTACTGATCTATAATCAAATTGAGATAGAAATTAAAGTACAAGTTGTAAGTATCGAGATAGGAGTTGAAATACTAATATCGGAGACGAAAACTGAGAGATCCATCTACCATCCATTTAACACCTGATTGCATTTAGTTGCACCATACCATGCATACGAACCAAATGGTAAAACATGAAAGCTGGAATCGATTGTAAGTCCCACCCATAAGAGTCACTAAGTAACTATATCAACATTCTACCATGCCTACACTGTTTCATGACTTTGTATTACACAGTAGTAACTTGTAACAGAAACCACAGACCTGTAGTACTGGAGTTTCAACTTCAACAAAGCCCAATGATTCCACAGTCTTCCGAATCTCTGAGATGATCTACTGAAATAAAAAAAAAATTAGCAGATAATTCATAGGCCCAAGAAATGCACTTGTAAAAGTTAACATCAATTATATTGGGGCATTAAAGAGAATGGATGAGCCAATAACTGATCAATCAGATGACATGCATGAATAACTGCCTGGTGACGGCAGACATTAAGAACCTTTTATGCTTGGTAGAGATGATAATGATTACCTCCAGCCCCAAATAAAAGGGCATGAATCAAGGAGGGTCATCCCAAAAATGATAGAAGAAGCACGAAGAACTCACCTTTGCTCTCTTTCTAAAAACATCGGCAACTTCAGGATTTGCAATCATGTCAACATACCTGGATAACAAGTACAGCATCAGGATGGATAGCAGGAAGAAGGCAAAAGAGAGAAGTTATATATGGAAGTTTAACTTGCCGTTGACGGTAGCGCTTATCCACATCCGTGAGGCCATGGTATTTGTCTGGCAGTGGAAGCAAAGATTTTGTAAGGATAGCAAATGAGGTGACACGAACAGAGAGCTCCCCTGCAATTTCAAGAATTCCTCGGGTAAACATATGAATTGCAAACAATAATGACATTGAAATTAATAAAAGGAGGATGAAGCTTTAGACCTTTTTCAGTTCTTTTCAAGGTGCCAGTTGCACCAAGTATATCGCCAATATCAACAAGTGATTTTAAACGATCAAACTCAAGTTGAGAAAGCTTATCCTTTTCACAGTAAAGCTGAAACAAGATGAGGGCTAATATGAGTATGCAAAGCATTGTCGATTCATAATGAGAGAATAAAGAAGAAGACCTGGATAGTTCCGGAATCATCACGCAATGTGAGAAAGGCGAGCTTCCCAAAAGCACGGCGGCCCATAATTCTGCCGGCGACAGAGACGTAATCATGAGCAGCCTCCTCGCCACTGGAAAGATGCTCATAATCAAGCTGAAGTTGGCTTGCTGAATGACTCCTATCCCATTTGTAGGCGTAAGGCTCGCACCCTTTGCTCCTCAATTCTTCTACCTATAATATAATACACTGTAATATAATGCTTCAATGGTTATAGATAAATTAATGCATTGAGGAATCAAGATATATGCATATAAAAACCTTTTTAATGCTCAATTTGATCAACGAATGAATGCATTGATAAATCAGATATATAAATTACTTTATAACAGACCTTTTTAATGCTCAATTTTATAAGAAACTTTTTTAATGCTCAATTTGATGAACGAATGAATGCATTGATGAATCAATAGATTTAAACTACTGTATAAGAAACCTTTTTAATGCGGAGTGAGCGCACGGCTTCCTTGTCGGAGGTAGAAGATGGCGACTGTTTGCGGCTGGTGGTACTGGAGGCGCAGCTCACAAAACGTCGGGGTTTCCACCGCGGAAACAACCACAAATTAGAATTCAAGTTCAGCTGCAGGATTTGCTTCAACTGTTGCGATGATTGACTCCATATCTTCACTCCCTCCATCATCGTCGTCGTTTTCTTCCCCGCCTCTCTCTCTCTCTCCTCTGCTACTTCCACAGATTTTATCTTCCTTACCACAACTACACCACACTATAACCCAATCTAAATTAACCCTATGGGCCTGGAACTGATCCTGGGCCTTTATAATATGTGGGCTATTAAGGAAGGACCTTTATAGAGGTCGATTTTGTGAATAAGGAGCACAAAATTTGTGAGATTGAACCTTAAAAGTTGTGTGAGGTTGTGAAGAAGAATTTTGGTTGGTTTTCCGGCTAGTCAATGCGTGATTTCGGCATTGACTATCATGTTCCTAACACATGACTTAAATTAAAAAATAAAAAAAATAATAATAAAAAAGAAGACACTTTATTACTTTTTTTTAATATATTTTCCTCCATTTCAAACAATCACGTGCTAGGCACATGAGGAGAAACGTGCGAAAAATAGTAGTTAGAGATCTTTTTTCAATGGCATATGCTAGGCACGTAAAAGTCAACACTAGAATTAGGTGTTGACTAGCCGGAAAACCAACTATGTCCTCTCTTCAAAACCTCACACAACTTATAAGTTTTTTTTTTTTTTACACAAACTTATAAGTTCCTTTCTCACAACTTTTATCTTAAAAGATCATTTTTCACAAAATCGGTCTCATAAAAGGTTCTTATTCACAAATTTCTAGATTTCTTATCATCCTCCTCCTTCCCAAACAAAATTCCTCTCTATTTCAGACCTCTGAAAACCATGGTTACGGTGCCCAACGCCACCCAACCTTATGTCCTAGCCTTTGCCCTATATTTGAATTATGCTCAACCAACTGCTAATAATTATGGTTGCCAAGGTTCCTAAACACAAGTACACAACCACCTCCCTTCACATCCTCCTTCATGTCCACTGCTCCAACATTTAATCAATCAAATGCAACAAGCCAAGACCAACAAAATTACAAGCTCCACAAAAATTTAAACACTCAACTAAGAACATCCAAGATCAGCTATTTCCCATACCAAAATCAAATTTAACCCAAAAAATATTATGACATAGAAACAATGCTAATTATCTCCAATTTCAGTGCACCCTTCACCCCCAAAATCTCCAAAATAACAAAATCCCATTAAACTTCAAATCATTTTCAAAGAGCTCGAGGTGGACTAGTATTGGGTTAAAATCTGCTCTTTTTTTTAATAATTAAACGAAGGAATCTTGATCAAGTTTGGGGAGGGTGTCGTGGGCTTGGGTTGGGTTGGGCGTGGTGGGGGCGAAGGTGGTGTTAGGATGGGGCTGAGGTACAAAGCAGATAATTTAACAGAAGCAGTCAAGAAGGGGGAAGAGGGGAGTAAATTGTGAATTAAAAAATAGAAAAATTTTAAATTATCACCCAAAAATATAACCATTTTCGAACTAACCACCCGTTTAATTTTTTATTTTAAATTACCACTCCTTAAATTAAACAAATGCTCAGATTACCACCCATTTCAAAAATCTTGTGGCCCCCTTCCCGTCCGTATGTCCCACCTAACGCCTATAAACCAATAACCAAAACCAAAAAAAAAAAAAAAAAAAAAAAAAAAAAAAAAAAAAAAAAAAAATAAAAAACCAATAAACAAAACCAAATTAAATGATACAAGCTGGAAACATTAAGGCCCTTATTCAAAACCCAACAAAAGTAGTAAATAAATAAAACCAGAGTTTAAATAAATTCAAACTTATGAAAAGAAATAAACTGCGAATAATAACCAACTCTCCACTCAAAATCCCACAACCCTGATGCGAATGCTGCATGTGTAAGAACCTGTAGTTAATCTGCTCCCCAATATTACAAGTGTAAAAATTGGATCGTCACGGGGTCATTGAAAGGCGAAGGCCATGACCAAAGAAAGACACACACAAAAGCACGCAATCAGTAAAGCTGAGTACATACAAGCTGCAAAACATAAAAGAAATCCCTAACATGCTACTAATAGTCAATCATCACACATCATTAGTTTATAGACTCGACAAATGACTCAACTATTTATATTACTAAGACTCCATTAATTAATAATAGGTAAATCATTATTTTTATTCATTGGATTACGCAATAGACAAGGTTATCCAACTCATGCTCCATTTGGAACATCAATAAAAGAAAAACCCCATGCCTCCTTTCGGAAAATTCAATAAACATCCAACGACCATGGGCGCGACTTCGTGACCGTAGTTAGTATGAGATCTCACCTAACTCCTAGTTTTAAAAAAAATAATATTTGAAATAGGAGACTCGTAGATCAGACGACCTCGATAAAATTACACGACTAATACCCCATGTACCCCAACCCCTGATTGTCATTACTCCAGATGTGCACCAATCCAGAGTTTTATTGCTCATCTATCTTGCATTTTACGTGATTTACATGTTTAGACTTAGTGATGACTCATATGCATAACAATACAAACATTCTAAACACAATTCAATCAAACAAGGCAAGTTTTCAATTTCAATTTTTGATTTATTAGTGACAAACAACACTTATTATTAATTCCCTTACTACCTCGGTGTATAAACACCATGAGTGCATAAGGCACCCCAAAACCTTAACCTCGTCTTATAAGACTTGAATTCTTCCTTTACTCATCCTGTTTGCATAATCATGAATGAGTAACTGGTAGGCCGTCGTCGAGCCTACCAAAGATAATAATTCCTATCTTGGTCTCACTAACAATAGTAAGGGTAAGAAAGGGTCGAACCCAAGAGAGGCGTTGAATCAACCACCGAGTACTACCGTTTAAATAAGCTAAACGAATTCTAAATTGGGTTGGTTTTTAGTAACTTCTTCTAACACAATTCAACTAAGCTAAGAGGAGGTTAACAATATTAAGAGGAATCTAGGGCTTGGGTTATACCACTCAACTTCATCACAAATCACAATTAGCATGCAACAATCAAGGTAAATTAATGGGATAAATTAGGGGAAGTCATCTAAAGCACCCAACTACTCTCTCAAGCTAGAGGGATTACTTGAATCATGAATACGACCTACTCTCGTGGTTACATAGCATAAAACAAGTGTTAAAGCATAATCACGATGACATAAACATTCCCTTGACCGGTAATCCCTATTCTCATGGCATTTCGGGTCAATCAAGCATAAGGGAGCTAACTCAAGTTCATCTCTCGATCCTTCGTTGAGAAAGCTTGGATAAATAGTTCTAGCAATGGCCATATACAAGAACTAAGCAATTAAACCACTTAAGCTCAACTAATTAACATCCCACAACAACCAAATTAGCACATGCAACAAGTAATTAGTGACTACATTGAGGGTTTTGCCCAAACCCTAGAATTTAGACTACTCACAATCCATGGGGGTTAAAGCAATTAAAGATTTCAAGCAATTCATGAACAAATTCAAACTAAGGATTAAGCTAATTAACAATCCAAAACATGCAAGAACTAGCAAATAATTAACAACAAAGTAAAGAGAAGTAGAAAAGATGAGTAAGAAATGGTTACTATGAAGCTTCAAGGTGAGCAACAATGGTGGATTTTGTCTTCTACAATGATTGAATTTGAATAATTCCAAGCTAATAATTGAGAACTAACTAATGATTTGAGAATTTAATGTTCTAAGACTACAAACTAAGAGAAAAGCTCTGAAAAACTGCCTCCCCCCCCTTCTCTTTTTACAAATGAGCTCTAAAGGGGGATTTATATGACCCCCAAATAAAAAGGACGGAGAAAACAAGGAAGGAGTTCGACTGCAGGTCTGCACGGACGTGCCAGATTTGGCACGGACGTGCAAGGCTAAGCACGGCCGTGCCAAGTTTGGCACGGACGTGCAGAGGGGGCAGAATTGAGGCAGAACGTACTGCTAAGAATCGAGCAGTTCCGCACGGACGTGCAGATATTGGCACGGACGTGCAGCTACATCTGCACGGACGTGCTTAATTTGGCACGTCCATGCAGGCCTTGGCAGAATGTTCTGAGTTTCTGGAGCACTTCTGCACGGACGTGCAAAGTCTGGCACGGCCGTGCACCCTCTTCTGCACGGACGTGCCAGATTAAGCACGGCCGTGCAGGCCTTGGCAGCTTGCTGAAGCTTTCTGGAACCTCCTGCACGGACATGCAAGGTCTGGCACGGCCGTGCAGGGTCTTCTAAAACCCCTTTTTTCATCTTTTCTTCTATAATGCTCCTTTCCTTGGCTTCTTTCATCCATCTTCTTGCTTCTAACCTCGGCTTTGTATCCATGGGCTCCATTTGGTCGTTCTTTTGAACCTAGAATCTCAACAAAAAACACCAACAACCCGTGAAGCATAGGATACACAAAAATTGCATAATAATAGAGTAAAAATGAACCAAAACGCAATTTATATCAAGTAAACTAGGTTCAAAACACCCTAAAATCGTATCAAATAGCAAGTTATCAAATCCCCCCAAGCTAAGCTTTTGCTCGTCCTCGAGCAAAACAAAAATGTCAAACCAAAGGAGGAAAACAAATTGCTAATCATCAATCCAAGGAGAGGCAACAAGGGGGAAGCATACATAAACAAATCCGCATGGTGACAACCATCATCACTTTTAGCACAAGTGAGAAGCAATTTAAACCTCTATGTCGCCTTAGAGGACGAGTTTTTATCTCGTGAGGGTTTCCAATGAGTTTGCCCCACAACTCACGCAGACCACAACAAAACTATCAAACTACACAAGTTCCGATGTTATTATCACCCAAGTCAACTCATCGAGATATGAATCGCAAGCAAGACAAATGAGCGACTTTCAAGAATTACCAATCATACAAATGTGCACATGAGTTGGGGGTAAAGAGGAGGACTAAGCAAGATTGCACTAGGATACTTCTTTAGACCTTTTACTAGTTCATTAGAGCACACCTAGATATTCCAAAGTTTCAACAAGCCCTTTTTCGGTTATAAAATCTCAAAATGCTAGTCCACCTCCCAAAATGCACACCCAAGGCCCCTTAATTACACTCTAACTCGGGAATTTCACAAGAAACAATAAGCAACAAATTCGACAATGTGTGGGAGGCATCCACAAGTTGACCTCTAAAGAAAAGAAGATTTTGATAATTT